CGAGTTGGAAGAAACGATTGGTGAAAGACTTTGGGGCCTTCGTGAGATGTTTCCGGATGTGTTCAGATGTAAGTTAGAATCGTCTGTTGATTGGTCGATGTGGGCTGCGAAAAATGCGGTAGGTGTTTTTTGTATGCTCTGGTATTCTTTATATCACATATTCATAATTCATTATGGGTGAGCCGTGTGGTACGTGCACGCTATACTTGCTGATATTTTTTCCGGAAAATATACTAAATTTGGCTATCAAATCCTGCATATATGTTAGGAGTTGAATATGTAGTACAAATTTCAATTTTCCGATTAAATGCTATACTTTTTTTAGTTTCAGTTTTCATTCGTGAAATCTGCACTCTGGATTGTTTCATCATCGATGATGATTTTAGTTTTACCATATGTAATCGAAAAAGAAAGGTCCGAATACGAAAAAAGTCAAGTTCGTTTTTCTGAAATACCACATACTTTTTCTGTCATTAGGGTTATCATGTAAATGGTTCATAGTGATTATTCAATGGATTAGTTAAATTTCATTTCTTTTTCACGATAATTGATCTAATTTATTTAGTTTTCTGCCAATAAGAGAGTATAAAAGCGAAGTGATTTCACATTTCTGTTCAGAACGGTAGATTTAGGGGAGTAGTTTGTTGGATTGACTGTTCATAGGTGCGTTACATTTACTCACTTTAAATTAACTACAGTTAATTTATTTTGTCACCTTTATTTGCCAGTGGACGATATCGGAAGATTTTGATCCCAAATATTAATTTGTTTTCAGGTAGCTCAGCAGAGGCAAATGTTGCTCGGCCCAACTGCTGCTGTAAGTGCAGCAAAGCAATAGTGTTTTTTATAGTTTTATATTAAGTCTTAACGGTTTACTTTTTAGCTTGTTTTTTATCGTTCTTTTACTTTGCACCGGTTTTCTGAAATGTTAGTCATCCTCGAGATTTGGTTCTGCAAAAAGTTTTCGTTTTTTTTGGGAAAAAAGTTTGTTTTTGAATTTTTTTTCTTGTTTGCGAATTTTTTTGTTTGTGGTATCAGGGAAAATAGCTTTTATAACTCATGAAATTTTCCTTAACTGAAAACTAAGAAATAGCGGGTCGCGTTTTGTTGCATTCCAGTCATCTCCACAATAGGTTAATGCTTAATGAACCTGTGACGAGAATAAATTTTCACATATTGGTGATGTGTTGGCCATTGTTACATTATTTTATTCGAATTAAAATATCGTTATGTCAGAAGTTTTCGAATGTGTTTAGCTAGAATAGTGGTGCATGAGAATAAGGTTTAATTCAATTAATTACTATTTATAAAACGTGATTTTGTGCATTATTTTGTTAAAATAAAATTTTCAAACGCCAATTCATGTTTTTTCTCAATACTAGTGATGGGTGAAGCCAACAATAAATTATCAAACCATGCAGGAAATATTCTACTCTTTGTGTCTTGCAGTACAAATGATCCAGTTTAGTTGCGTGGTGCGCAGCATGCAGACAAATAAAAGTTCGACACAAATTCTGTTGTTCGGTTGGATGAATGTGATAAATATTTAGGTGATTTGGAAAGTTTTTGGAAAATTTTCCCTTCTCGGTGCATGATTTTCGTACGACACAATTATCAAGGTCTTCAGAAAAGTGCTGTGCTCACTTTTTGCTTTCGGAGGTTTGTTGATGGTAATGCGCAACAAGTGGTGGAAGTCAGTGATAAATGGGATGAGGTATGTCGTTTTTAATTTGACTGTAGATGTGGCAGTTTTGCTTTTGATGTGACTCGTGAAATGCAGCCATGTGGAAATCTTAATGTAATTAATATTCCAATAATTTCAACAAAATCCTTTTGGAGGTGAATGGTTTTACAATTGGTGTGGAATAAAATGGAAATAAGAAGAAATGATTAACTGATTAACTGGCGTGAAAAAAAAGGACTGCATTGTTTATTTCTAAATTAAATGAATTAAGCTCAATGTTAATACTTTTTCTACTATACTCAATGTTAATACTTTTTCTACAGGTTGGAAAACGGAATATCTCGGGTGGGGATTCTGAGTCAGATTTGTCCGCATTTAACAAGAAGGAAGATTTTGCATCGAAACAAATAAATAGCATTAATAGAACTGTAAGTTATTACATGAAAACTGGAAAGAGCTTTTATTATCTCCAAAATGTTAATGAGAATGCTATTTTCTTGATGCATTCTTTTGATGGGATATTACCGAAAATGCAATGATTATATGCCTCTTTGTATTGAATTTTATAATGTCTGTTTACAGCAATCCCTGCAAAACTCCTCAACACGACGGAAAAAACAAAAAGTAGAGGCCAATCGATTTCGGCCTGTTGTATATTCAGAGGGAGAACTGGATAAGTCGAACTTTATGCAGCCACCTTCAAGGTTCTTTTTCCCGTTATTTTGGTCAAATAGCGAAAATCTAAGGCTTAGGAGCTAAATTGATATACTATTTGACTCTGAATATTCTCTGTTCTATTGTAGTAACACACCGAGTTCACTAATTTATCCAGCGCAAGTGCTGCTGATAATGAATTCGATTATATCTTTGGATTTCATTAGTATTGTGCAAAATCAATGATCATTATTATGCCGAAAACGTGTTTCTTATTTATCTTCTGGCCATTTTTTTTCACATTTTTCAACTTTTTTTTACATACAAAATTTCTAGTTATAATTTGTTCAGGGATAATCCACTTCCTTTCGATCCATCCACAAATCCGTCAATTTTACCTCCGACACACTCGTGGTCTATTGCTCATTATGTGAATCACTTACCAGTATTGCAAGTACTAGTCGAACTAGGCATGGATTTGTTTGAGGTTCATGTTAACTCTATCAAGTTTACGAAATGTTGTGACTCTGGAATTTCATATGAACTTTAGAGTTTTTGAGATTGCGAAATTTGCACGTTGATTTTGTCACCAGCTGTTTTTGAGGTGGATTCAGCAACACATATCGGTCGTAAGCTAGTAAAATTAAATTGGGAAAATGATGTAAGACCGAAACTTGTTTGGTTGATCCATCAAGTTGGTATGCCCATAACCGCTGTCGGCTCATATTTAACACGAAATCCGTATTTCTTACTGCAAGATTTGGAAACCATGCAAGTTAGTGATTTTTGCTTTTCGTTACAAAAAAGTTCAAAAATTCTTTTCATCCTATTCACATTTTAACAACTGGAATAAATATACTGTGTTTTACATAATTTTAGATACGATTAAATTACCTTTACACAAAGCAGCTGAATAAAGCGAAAATCCTTAAAATCGTGAAAAACAATAGGTTAGTTCCTTCCATCTAAACTCTTCACAACATGATCCTCTGTAATTTGTTGTGATAGTGAATAATATTTGTTCGTTGTGTTCGAAAGTCTTTGTTAACTCATCGATAGTATTAAAAATTCATTGTCCTCGTTATTAAAATTATTTTTCTTTTTGAAGATTTTATGTATACATTCATTTTATCGGTGTATTGTATGTCAGGTTTTGGTTGAACACGGATGTCAAAACAACCGATGCTCGCCTGGGGTGGATTCAGAAAACCTTTGAGCTGACAGGCGATGAAATGCGTCAACTAATAGTTACCGAATCAAGAGTCATTATGTATGGTGTTGGACCGCTCGAAGTAAGCGCGTGGGTGATGTCTTTGTTGCAGAAGTTTCGATGAATTTTATGGTCCTGATGCGACATTTTAGAAGTTTTGGTTCACTTAAATTTAAAAAGAAACAAACAAGGAATGTTTCTACTAATCAAGTTAATATGTTTTATTTTTGCAGCGACTGGTTACTATGTTGAATGAAGAAATGGAATTTACAAAAGAACAAATTAAGGAAATTTTGCTGAAAGATCCGAGGGTGTTCATGATGGGTAACTTTTTTAATGAATTGATTAAACGGACTTTTCTGTATCATTTATAATGTTTTATTGATGGATATTGCATAAAATTGAACACTAAACATCCAATAATAGTGCGTAATTCATTCGCTGTAAATGGTGGTGATCACTGATATCGTTGAATGGGGAATTGTTATATCTCACTACAATAAGGATTTCTGAAAATGTCGAACTGAATATCAAATAAGCCACTTCTGATTACTGTTTTAGAGCCGAATGCTCTACATACAACGTACAATTACCTTCGTTTCACTATGCATCTATCAAACTTGCAAATTGTTGAATGGCCATTATGTTTGAGATTTTCCATTGGAGCAATCCGCAGGCGACACGAATTTTTGGTACAACTCCATAAAGCTGACTATAACGAAGGTTCACCAAACTGTGTACATCTTAGTTCTCTGTTACAACCATCCGATCAAAAATTTGCTCTTAATGTAGCGCATACATATTTGAATGTATATAATGCTTTCTTGAAAAACTATTGATTGATTTTTATCGTTTGATTGTTCAGCTTCAAGCGTTTTTATGTTTCGCATTTTTTATATTTGACAAATATAACATGTGTATAAAGTTCCACTATTTGGATTGGGACAAAAAAATAAATTAGAATGTGGTGGTTCCCGGCTGGTAGATGTGTATATAAATTGTATGACTAGGCTTTAAAGGAGGAATTTACCGAAACGGACAAAACACGACACTAAACAATTCAGGATAATGTCGAGTGTGCATAAACGATAGTTTCTGCTGCTAATTATGAATGTAAATTCCATTTGTTAGCAGAGATTTGCCGCACAAAACAAACGAGATTTATTACTGCATTACTTGAGTGTTTTATAGGAAATGTTTTTGTTGTGATACTGTCATCGCTTTATTGAATTTCAATAAAGCTATTTGGTGTTTAAAATTATGAACCAGAACTACGGAATAAGGGATTAAGTATTTGAGTAAAGTATATTCGTGGGAAGCGCGATATTTGTTGGTATGTAATTGCAGGTAGTATAAGATTATAATTCTGGTGTTACCTGTATCTGCCTTTTCTGAATTATTTAGGTTCGTGTAAAGGAGTAATTATATTCATGCATTTCTATGCCTTAGCCTCAAAACTCGTTTTTGCCACATAAGACATATATTTGCGACAATGGTACTTACGTTTCATCGGAATGTCATCTCCGGAAAAATACCGTTTTATTTTAATTATTTGACGTCTTTAATGAAGCATCGTCGATCTGGAAGTGATTTGCAGTGGTTCGGAGGTTATTGTCTTTGTGAAATGACTTCTTTCACCCAAATTTGAAAATTCAATACAAATTCAATCGTTACTTTTATTCACTGAAGAACGGAATCTCAATGTCTGGGAAGTCGGGAAGTATGTGTGGAAGTTATTTTCAATTATATATATTAACTTTCTAATATATATTAACCATTTTTTAATTCCTTCATTAAAAAATGGTTAATATATATAATTAACGATGTTGACCTTGACTGATTCAGATGTGGTGGTGACTGTTGTTCGTAAGACGTTGTGTTATTGCCAAACTTGATTTGTATTGGTTTTTTATGGGGTTGGCTTGTGATCAACAGCAGGCAGCATCGCCATTCAAGCAATTGACGGCAGTACCTAACTAATCATTCTTATTCATTTCCTTATTTTTCATCTTTTCATTTCAGTCGTTTAAAGTTTAATTCCTTCTTTGTGGATGTATTGTAATTGGTGTGTAACAAAAGCCTCAAATAACAAAATAATTTTTAGGAATCATTTAACGGTGCTTTAATTTATAATAAGACTGCTTTCTATTCTAAAATTGATTCGAAAGCATTTATAAATGGGCTTACTTTGTTGTTTATGGAATTGTTTGAAATAAGTTAATGATCAATAATAGAATTTTCAGATGTATTAAAGGAAACAAATTTACAAGTATTCCAAAATGCGACACAATTTGATTGAACCTGGTGACAATGAAGATATTACCAGGGAACGGCTAGGCTCATCTTTTTCGGTTGGTAAATTGGCAGCATTTATACACGGTGGTGAAGAAAAGCTTCGTAGAAGACATGAAATACTGAAATTTGTAGAGTCTCAGAAAGATTTTCAAGATCCAATACCACCTGAATTCATGAGCCGTAAAGAACGAGTTGAGAATAATGCGCGAAAGGTTTGTTTTTTAATTATCTTGTATCATACATTTCGATCTTCAGTTATTTCTTTTAAAACGAACTGTTTAACATTTAAAAAAAAATCGTTAGAACATTTCGTTTTCAAATTCATTCGAAAGACTAATCTTTAAGGTGTAAGAACTTGAATGCATGAATCCTTTCACGCTTTGTTTTTGAACAAACTATTCAATAATGGCTTAATTACGCTACTTAGATCGTAGCGATGACCGATAAAATGGCGTTTATTGACCAGTCAGATATGTCAGGAGAAGGACTATTTTTTCAAAGGTATGGTTTGTTTTTCTTTTGGTTGCAATTATTTGCAGATCTTAAAAAGAGGTTAACTAGTTTGGAATTGAATTATTGGGTTAATTATAGTCTGGTAATGGGACGTGATTTCCATGCAATGTCGTTGCACTATGCGATGTTCATACCAACCATTCAAGGACAAGCGGATGATGATCAGTTGGACTATTGGCTTCCGTTGGCTGTTTCTCGAGGCATCATCGGGACATATGCGCAAACTGAACTTGGACATGGTTTAAAATTTTGTTTTGTGGATAAAGTTTAAACTACGAACAATGAGCCTAGTTTTCTAGAACTGCAATAAATTTTGTCTTAAATAAACCAACAAATTTGGTATTAAATAATCTATTTAATAAAGTGGGTCTTTTCAAATCGAAATCTTCTGTTGTATTATATTTTTGTGTAAATTTAGCTGTTGTTTTCAAGGTACTAATATTTCGAACTTGGAAACAACGGCAACGTATGATGAGAAAACAGAAGAATTCGTGCTACATACACCATCAGTTTCGGCAACGAAATGGTGGTCAGGTGGTCTTGGAAAGTCGTCAAATTATGCCATAATTCCTGCCCAACTTATCATTAATGGAAGCAATAAAGGCTTACATATGTTCATTGTTCAACTCCGAGATCTTGATACTCATATGCCTTTATCTGGTGATTAGAATTTGTATTTCTGAGTAGTGATATAGATATGG